CAAATTGCGCAATTTCGGTACTATTCTCAATTTCAGTTCAAATTGCAATACGATTCTCAATTCGGCCATCAAAAAACTGTCACCTGAAATTGCATATGAATCTAAATTTCAACTCCGAAAATTGCTTACTGTGAGTGAAACGAAGAAAAACAAACGTCAATAACAAGCAAATAAAAACAAAACAAACAAACCGAGCAAAACAAAATTAACAAAACAACAACAAGCAAATAAACAAACTGTCGCCGAAATTTAGATTGAAATTCAGATGGTCGTGCAAACAGCTACAATTTCAAACTGGAATTGAGTGTCGAAATTCGCAATTTCGGACAAATTAAATTAATATATAATAAAATTTATAGCAATGCTTTTTGAAAAACATATGTATAGCACCTAAAAGCTCAGTTAGCCTAGACTTAATTTCAGTAACTTAACTTAACTTAATATTTTGGCCAACCTGCTATAGTTAAAACTTAACATACCGTAAGAAACTTAAGAACCTGTAGATTTTAGGTTCTTAAGTTACGGCGTTACGGAAATTAAGAGCTGTGAGAGAATCAGGCTTGCCAGACTATCGTTTTTGTATTTCTTAAAAATAAATGAACGCAAACATTTTTGTTTGCATGAATTTTTTTATGTGGTATTTTAGGCGGTGAACTGTTAAACAGCTGAAAAAGAAAATACAAAAACCAAATATTTCCGCTCTTGGCTTAAGTTGACGTGTTGAGTAATCATTGATGATTTCTTACGGTAAGTTAAATGAAGTTAAGTCTAGACTAACTGAGCTTTAAGTCTCTAGTCTTTTTTTCTTTATTCCATTACTTTTCCTATGACTTTTTCTATAAAAATGTCAAACAGCAAAATCGAGTAACAACCGAAAAGTACGGGAACATTAAATCGAATACGAAATAGTAATATTTACGGTTATACTAAAATATCTTTCGCTATCATCTTGACAAAGTACAATTTTTGTTTACTTTACCAAAGTTTGGTGTAACAGCTGATCACTTGGCTCTTTGCATGATTTTACCGAAAGAAAAGGTTCGGGTAAAAACTTGCACATCGTACAGTTTCCTAAGTATGAACACTATCAGCTGATTGCCAAAAAAATGCCTACAGCTGAGATCACCTGTTTTTTGGCATTTGCTCTTATCTTTTAAAATTTCTTTAATTTCTAAATATTACAATTTCTTCTAAACTCTTTCCATTTCTATTACAATTTATTCAAAATTCACTAACGCACTGAACCAAAAACACCAATACACTAACCAACAACACAATAAAGCCTGCCAGAAAAAACGGTAAGAAGAAGAGTTACGTTACTTATGGAACTGTGCGATGGTCTTGCACCTTCATTCTCTACACAACTCTGCAAAAATCGTCATTTACAGGATTTTGGAGTACGGGAACATTTTTCCTGTAACTGTTCATGTAAAAATCTGTAAGTTCATGGAGCACTGGATGAGAGCTATAATTTTGTTCACATAACGGTCATTTGTAACAGCCAAAACGAATCGAGATAGATATAGACAAATATACTATATATTTGTAGAAGTATGTACAGCGTGGCGACGAATAACTGTTAGCAAGGTTTTTTTGAGAAATAAAAGGGTCGTTTGTAGATTTTGCGAAAAAGGTATTTTATTGTTAATTTTCCACTGATTTTACTTTAGTTGTATTAATTAGTTTTTAAATTTTAATCCTTATTTACATTTGCTAGCAGTGTAAACTTTGGGAGAAAAGTTCTATCTATGGTAGGTGCTTATAGTAGGCTATATATAAATGAGTTTGTAAAAGGGGGCGTGGCACATTCCGCAGGCGTGAAATTTTTTACCAGCTATAAATAACTCCGGAACCATAAGTCACATGAAATTGAATTTGGCATGCAGATATATCTATGGTAGGTGCTTATAGTAGGGTATACATAAATGAGTTCGTAAAACGGGGCGTAGCACATCCCATATTCGGGGAAATTTTTATCAGCTATAACTGCGGAACCATATGTCACATGAACTTGAAATTTGGTATGCACACATATCTTTGGTAGGTGCTTATAATAAGGTATACATATATAAATGGGTTTGTGAAAGAGAGAGTGGACTTTTTTATCACTTATAACTTCGGAACCATAAGTACCACGAACTTGAAAGTGGTTACGCAGGGTTGGTATTCAGACATACCTATGGTAGGTGCTTATAGTAAGGTACATATAAATAAATCAGTTTGTAAAAGGGGGCGTGGCACATCGCATAGGCGGTGAATTTTTTGTCAGCTAAAACCTCGAAACCAAAAGTCACATGAACTTGAAATTTGGTATACGGACATATCTAATAAGGTATATATAAATGAGTTTCTAAAAGGGGGAGTGGCACATCCCATAGAGTGGAAATCTTTCTCAGCTATAACTTCAGAGCCATAAGTCACATTAACTTCAAATTTGGTATGCAGACGTATCTATGGTAGGTGCTTATAGTAGGCTATATATAAATGAGTTTGTAAAAGGGGGCGTGGCACATTCCGCTGGCGTGAAATTTTTTACCAGCTATAAATAACTCCGGAACCATAAGTCACATGAAATTGAATTTGGCATGCAGATATATCTATGGTGGGTGCTTATAGTAGGGTATATATAAATCAGTTTTTACAAGAAGGCTTGGAACATCCCATTGGCGTGAAGTTTTTAAACAGATATAACTTCTCATCCGAGGCATTGCTAGAACGGGGGTGGTTTTGCAACCAAATATACGTTTATATAGCGAGCCGCTTGCTCCGAGACATACACCCGCTTGCAGCCGCACCTACAGGTGAACAGACGCTGCAGACTTCAGTGAGCCCCACCGAAGCTCCCTCTCTTTCCGCCCTGACCCAAGGCTCCATTTGGGTTGGTTACCGCATCTCGCACATGGGTTGCTCACGTTGCCCAGAGTGCGCGAACGAGGCTGCAAGAGTCGGGATTAAGTATAGCCGTGCAACTGTAACTGCATACCCAGCACAGCGACTATACCCCATTGCACTCGTTGCATTTGGTATGTAATAATAATAATAGATTGGCGCTTACACATATGTTATTGTTTGGCCGAGCTTCTCCTCCGACTTGTGGCGTGCGCCTTGATGGTGTCACACAAAGCGGAGGAACCTACAGTTTTACGCCGACTCCGAACGGCGATTGTATTTTTATGAGAAGCTGTTTTTCATGGCAGAAATACACTCGGAGGTTTGCCATTGCCTGCCGAGGGACGACCGCTGTTAAGAAAAAACATTTTTCTATATTTTTTGCGATGTTGCTTTGACCAGGGCTTGAACCCAGGTGCTGATGAGTAAAAGCGCGCACTACTTACCACTACACCACAGCGGCATTTGGTATGTAGGTTTCCTTTTATCCAAGGTAGGTTGGCACTGAAAATGGGCGATATCGGACCGTAACCACGCCCACTTCCTATATAACGGTATTTTCGAAATATTGGATCCAAATTGTTGAAAATTAGTATGTGAAGTAGAATTTTGTTGAGAAATATTTTTGTGAAACTTTTGAAAAATTGGCGTGACCCCGGCCACCTATGATGAACTGCTGTATCTCAATAGCCGCTTCGCCAATCCTTACCAAACTTGGTACGAGCCTTGCCTAAGGTCTAGCTAAGAAATCTGTTTAAAATCTTTGATATTGGGAAATAACCACACCCACCTCCCATATAACGGTAACTTATAGAAACACGAAAACTGCGATAAATCACTAACTACTGAAGCTAACTCAAAATCGATGATTGGAATAACCGCTTAGCATAATTATATCGATTATTATAAAATTTATCGATTTATCAATTTCTATCAAACTCGATGCACTTAATAACCCAATTCGTTGAAAGTTATTCAAATTAGGCTAAAATTAATGGTTACAGCAATCTCTTAACAGTAGGTAAGACTGCTTTAGATTTGGGCGTGGCACCGCCCACTTTGTTTATGACTACAGAGTGTCTCGCGGTAACCACTTTATCGATTTCTACTAAACTTGGTGCAATTATTTCAGCATATTATCAAAAACGTTTGAAATCGGGAAAAACACCCCTGATTAACATGCACAAGTTTTGCTTAATATTTTTACAGAAATTTGTTTCCAAATATGTATTTTTTTCGAACTACAAACAATTATTTTTTGTATCTGCATCCTCAAGAGTGGTATAAACTATCACTTCTACCATTTTTTCAAATTATTGTTGCTTTTCCCCAATAAGTTTTCACTAAAAACGGCCTCAAGCTCATAAAATTTGTTGAATATGAGTGCTATAAAAATTATTGCAGTCCTCAGAGATTTCATCATGGGACTCAAAAGCCAGGTCTTTTAATATTCTAATTTGTAAAGCGAAACATGAATTTTTGCCATATTTCTGAACCAATCTGTAAATGAAAATATAAACTTTTACTGTTTCTGAAACTAACATTTAGTTATGATTTAATGTATTACCTTAATATAGTCTATATATACTAGGGCGGGTCAATTTGTATGGGAAATTTTTCTGACTATGTGCGTATGGCATAGAAGGATTATGACGAATCCATTTCTGCACTTATCCCTTTCTTAAAACTTCCACCAGAGGGCGCAACAGTGAAAATTTTGCACATACATATTCTTCGAAACCAATTTTCGCAATTCTTTCTCCATACGGTTTTCCGAGTTTTCCATAGAGAACTTTGCTGTACAGAGTTTTTAATACAGAATTTTGAACCGTAATTATTTTTTAACCAACCGGGTCCTTCCGCACTAGGTTGCCAACTCCCTTCCAAAAAAATTGAATTGATCACTTCCAATAATAATAAAAGATTTTGTTTACTTACTTTTTTTTGGTATTTGGTGGATTTATTATTTTCAAAGGTGGCAGCCTATCCATTAAATAATTCAAATTCGTTAAACTAACTATAAAATAAATAAATACATTGTTTTATTAAAATTATTCCATATTAAAAAAATCGTACGAAATACTAAAAACTGTTTCACTTGACCTTTACAGGAACTCGACATGGAATGCTGTCCCAAGCCGGTTGTCTTTGTAGTACATAATTGCCTATCAGCGAAGGTACATTCCATCACCTAAGAGATGCAGTGAGTACAGTGAGTAGTGGGCAGCATTCGGAAAGAGGCTGCAGTTAGGGGTTTATCTATAAATTCCAGTTAAGTCTGCAAGTAGAAAAAAAAGTATTTAAAATCAAATTGAATGTAATTTAATTGAACGGCAAAGTATCGAAATAGGAACGTAGAGGAAATAAAATGAAAAATCGTAGCGAAAATTTTTGTAATTTCATACCAAACGAGGAAGAATGAATATAGCATAATAAAATAATGGCAATTAAAAAAATTTACTTAGAACTTTTTTATTTATAAATTGTATTTGTATATTTAGAAAAGAAAGTGTAGTAAAGTAAAGTTAAAGTAAAACAGCGGAAAAGCAGAAAGCGGCTGCAATGAGAATATGCGTGCTTCCTTGTTTTACTTAAGAATGAAAGTTAGTCTTCAAAAAATTAGAAATAAAACTAAAAACACTTAACTTGTAAAAGTCAAAACACGAGTATTTTGTATTAGAAAGTATATATGTATAAATATGTATATGTATGTATGTATACCACTGTATTTTCTGCACTCTGTAAACTGTACTATACACAACTCTTCAGAATTACATACTTAAGGTACATACATACATATTTGAATAGACTACTTTTATACTTCACTCACTAATTAAAGCTAACTTTATATTACATATTTTGAAATCTCTTGCGAAGAAAAAAAAAAACAACAAACGAAATTCAACTGAAATTGTAAAATTTTCGAATTAAAGCGCACAAAAAAATGCATAGCGAAGATTAGAAATAGGCATACATACATACATTTAAAATCTAAAAGAAAATGTAGAAAAGGTATGTAAAAAAATTTCAATCGGAATGTGTAGAAAAAATATAGCTTTTTGAAATCTGTTTAATTAAATTGCACATTCGGCAAATATCTATTTAATTAACAAATGCAAATGTAAGCAGGCTCATGAACGATTGCCTGCACAATAACAACAAAGAACACATGTTATGCGACACAAAAACAACAAAAACAACAAATATATTTGCTAACACAGAAATACAGCAATTGTTCGTTTTTACACACACACACACAAACATACATACATTCAGTGGTGGAAAAATAAATAAAGACACGAATGTTTAACAAATTTTGCCTATTTTGCTTTTGTTTATTTAATACTTATTTTTTTTTTTTTTATAAAAGTATAGCTTCTTATCTAACAAAAACCATATAAATTCATGTTTTAAGCTTTGAGCAAAAATTATAAGAATTCTGCTAAATTGCATCTAAATTTCCAAGTTTTTAATCAGGTTTTTCAGAATATTTTTCAGTATGCAGTTTTATAGCCCACTAAATTTTATTAAGGTGCAAGTTTAATGTTCCTAAAGAATCGCGTTAGTTTTTATTCTGAATGTATTACGCACTTATTCTATACAAAGAAAAATTGTCGAACATACTTTGTAAAAAAAAAAATGCGAATTTAAACTAACACTTTGTTCTACTAAAATTAATGGGCTATAAAACTGCATAATCAAAAAGATTCTACAAAATCTGATTAAAAAGTTGAAAATGAAGATGCAATTTTGCGGAAATTATATAATTTATGCACAAAGTATAAAATATGAGTTTATATGTATTAAAACCAAAAAAAATAATAGGCAAAATTTGTTAAAATGTCGTGTCCCTATTTATTTTTCCACCACTCCACATACATACATACTTAAAAACATAAATCAAAAACAATACCGAAAAAAACAACCGATGATAATAATCATACTTAGGTATAGTGAATATCGAAAAAATATCAAATTTAAATTTACAACTGCAAACAATTTACTAACCCTATGGAAAAAAGTAACAATTACTGCTACAAAACATATCTGTCAGCTGCATCTCTGTATACACAAATTTAATAATAATAACATTAATTACCGTTATCATAGTGTATGCACCGATAAAATTAAATATTTAGAATTAGCGGGGCAAAAAAAAATTTCATTGTCAAAAATTTATTGAAAAAAAAAATTAAGTGAAAACAAAGGATTTGCATTTGACAGCAAATGAAATGGACAGAAAAAATATGTGGCACAATTTTTTCGCTATATATTTTTAAGCTTCTCTATACATATAAAAAAAAAACACAAGCAAAACTTATCCATTACCAACTATGTAATAACACAGAGAATATTTATTAAATATCAGCGATGCCCAAAAATACAAAAAAAAAAAAACATATGAAAAAATTAATTATTTAAAGGAACATTTTTTGTTACAACAAAGAGCAGAAAAGTTATAAGCCTGCGAAAATTAATATTAAAATAAATAACTGTAAGTAGCGTTGATAATAATAAAATAATTCAGATATTAAGTAAACAATGTGTATGGGAAAGGATTGTCGAATAAGCAAAAAAAGAAAAACTAAAAACACAAAAAAAAAAGAAATTCCAAAACACAAAAGTAATTACCGTAAATACATACATACAATAGTATACACAACAAAAAAGAAGAAAGGAAAAACACGATGAACGAAGTTACGACGAAATTTTGTGCAATAAATATTAAATATATCTCTCTCTATAAAATGGTGGTATCAAGCATAATAAATAATTATGATGCGGTGAAAAATTGTAAAATAACAGCTTGTTTTATTAACCCTGTGTAGGTATTAAATGTGGCTAATTTTATATTAAAATTTCCTTGCCAAAATCGTACTAAATGCCACTACTGTTCGTTTGCCACACAAAACCCTGTCCGGTTTGCGCCCAAGTTTTGCCGCCCGTTGCTCAAAACTCAAAATTCGTACAACGCAATCTACTGGGCGCCCAGAAGGCTGCAGCAGCAGGAAATATATATGATAACATAGCTCAATAACATTTATGTTATCGTTAACATTTATGTTGGCTACAGAACATAACCTTGAACAACAAAACCTCGAACAACAGAACCTCGAACAACAGAACCTATGTGCTGTTGACAGAATAATGTTGTGCTAACATTGGCACTTGCTGCTACGTTCTGGTCGCCTGGTAGTTTTCGGTGTACAAAAATTGTGATGACTTGCTTGGGTGCTGCGGCGTTGCGTATACGTGTGGGATCGAGGAAGAGTCTATATTTGAATTTTGTTGCTAGGTTGGGGTAAGAATGTGAATTTTCTTAGAGAAAGATTTCGGGACCCCCGCGACCCGCGGTAGAAGTCTGAAAAATGTCGGGTTCGGAACTTAAAAATTTAATTTTGGGATGGGCGGGATCGGGACTTAATATTTAGTCACATTCCCATATCTACTCTCAATCCCTGCGCCTCCTAACGGAAGACAAACACCTTTTAAAAATCATTAGACAAAATAACAATCATTCAATGCGATTTAGAAATCTGGTAGAAAATGGATCCCAATGGAATGATTCTTGCCATTTTATATGTACAGTGGTGGAAGAAATAATAACAGCTTTTTATTTTGACCAGTTTGGGCTATATTTCTTTTGTTTATCCGATGTTTCTTTTTTTTTTTGTATATAACACGCACCATATAAATCCGCTTTGTACAAAAATTATTAAAATTCAACAAATTTTACCAAAATTCCCCAAAGATTTTGAGCTTAATAGCATATCGATGGCTGAGGGAAGATCGACCTATCTGGGAAACCAGTTCGAAAACGCTCTATCTCAAAAAACTTTTCAAGAACGCCCTATTTCAGAATTTGTTTCAAAAACGCCCTATCTCAGCTGCCGATTTAAAAACGCCCTGTATCAGCATATTTTCAATACATTTTAAAGTGAGATAGGGTGTTTTTCAACTAAATTCTGAAATAGGGCGTTCTTGAAAAGTTTTTTGAGATAGAGCGTTTTCGAACTGGCTGCCGAGATAGGTCGCTCTTCCACTCAGCCATCGATATGTTTCTGTGTCAAATTTCAGGACGTTGGCATAAATGGTTCCAATCAAATAAAACACGCATTTGCATTTGTTGACCCCTAAATCCTTAAGACTGGTTTTGCTTTTCTTCATTTTTTCATCGACATATGTATGTATGTATGTATGTAGATCCGAACTTTAAATATTACATACTGTGAGATCTTTATGCATAATAACGACGTCCTCCAAAGTCAGCTAAATGTGGTCTGTAAAAAGGTATCAAACTCTGCATGTCAACGAAAAAAGTCCATTTCGCCCTTCTTTAGCTAACAGTAGCGAAACAGTAGAGCGTCAGATCAGATATAGCACAGCACTACTAGGCTAACTAGAAGACGAAAGCACAAAATAATTTAGCTGAAAGAATAATAACAATTTATACAATTAAATGTTTTCTGCCAACGCTAACACCATCAGTCAAATACACTTACCAGTGTTGCCATTTAAGTCATTTTCCGGCTAGATTTAGCCGGTTGCGATAGCAAACAGCCGGATAAATTTCGTTTTAGCCGGCAGCCGATTTGTTAGCCGAGTTGTAAAAAAAATAGCCGTTTTTAGCCGATTTTGCTATTTGCCTTATTTTATTAAAACTCAAATACAGTATATTTTGCTTAGCTGCCCATTCTTCTTTGCACGAAAAACTTGTGCGCTTAAACGAAAAAAGCACTTAAAAGAATTTCCTTTACAACTTCAATTAGGAAGGTATCCGAATCTCTATGAAACCAAATAATGGTGAAGCCCTTACCACGTAGAATTTACTGTAAGCCAAACTTTTTCCGAATGATATCTAATCATCAATAAACTACATAAAATGATAGCCCTTTTCGTTGTTCTGCGAGATGAGCAAAATAAAAGTTTGTAAAATTTGTGTAGACCCAGTGCATGCAAATGTAATACTTTTTTCGATAATTGATAATGTTAGAAATGGCTACTAGCCTTACCGCGGAGAAAATTTTCACGTTAGGCAGGGTTATATAAAATTGGGCCCATTTTGCTTATTTTTATTTTAAACGAATATATTTTTTCTAAAGAAAGCGGTAGCGGGGATTTTCTTCATAAAATGTTTGTTATGAATGTTTTAATTTTAAGTGTGAAGTTTTATTCGCAAATTTAGAAAATAACAAGCACTATGTACATACACATATGTATTTTTTCAAACAAAATTTTTTGCTGAGAACTTATGTAAATTCCCAAAACCGAGGGCCAACACTGAAATGTGTCAAAATTAAAATAAAAGAGCACAAATTTCTATGTAAAGCAAAACTCTCTGGGAACCCTACCAGACATTCGCCGATCATATGACTGGTCATCTGAATGTCAGAGGTAGATCTGCAGCCTTTTGGCATCATATTTTACATCAGATTTAAAGGGATTTCTGAAGAATCGGA